ATCTTTTCGATCACTGTTCTTCTATTCTTAACTGTTTTGTCGTCACGCTTTAGTATTGATAGCAACTTTACGGCTCTCTTTACGAATCTCCATTGATTGCAGTTCTAACGATTAGCGCTATCGGTTTCTTCTGCTTTTTCTCTTTCTCTCCGTTGTATCCTCAGCAGTTTTACGAATAGTGTGTTTGAAATCAAGCAAATTTTCGTCTTAGGTGGTTTCTTAGGTTTAAACAAACATTCACTCAAAAGTTAATTATTCTTTATGTCATCAGTGTCTTACTGCGTTGGAGAAACCATTTGCTGTTGTTTGTATTCGGTGTGTAAGAAGCAGATTGCAGACATTTTGCTGTGATGGTTTAGCATGTTTGTTTTTAGTTAATGTGGGAAGTGCATATCGCTAAATATGTGTAAACCTTTGTGTGTCGTTTGTTTTGCAGTTTCAACGTTAATTTTTGAAAACAGACTCCATATAATGTACTTGAACTGCATAGCTTATCTTTTTCTCACTTTCCTTTCTGTCGTCTTTTGCTTCAACTCACTCCAGTTGTCGCAATTGCTTTTCAGAAATTTACGCGATGCAGCGCATTGAAGCTGCAATCGAATGTGCTGTGAAGTCAAGACGATATGGTGCGCTTATCACAGAAACTTTTGATTTGGCTTTGGCTCAGGCTCATTCTGCTGTCAGTAAAGGCCTGACTCCATTTCCGATTGTCGTAAAAGATTGTTTCGCGTCAGTGAGATTTTTCTTAATGGCAAAAAATTTTAATGCCTCTACATATGTACAGATTATAGGGTTAAGGGTTATCCCATGACATGTGCGTCCAGAATGTTAGAGAATTATGTTCCACCCTATACAGCAACTGTCGTGCAAAGACTGATTGATAAAGGTATAGTTGTTGGTCTTCAAGTGATATAATCCAATTTTACTTACGAATTTATTTGTAGTTATATAGGAGGTTGTGTTATTGGAAAGGCTAATATGGACGAATTCTGCATGGGTACATCTAGCGTGCTCGGGCATTTTGGACCCGTAAAAAGCGGGCTAACCGTATGTTGTTTTTTGAATTTTTTTTTTTTGATCACTCAAGATACGCAGTAATAATAGTCTGTTGATTGTGTGATTTGTTCTGATGTAAACATTGACTATATTTTGAAGGTAGTGCTACAAGCACACTTTGGATATGTATTTTATATACAATTTATCTATGATATTAGATCAGTATGTGCGCATTTAAGTATTCTTGAAAATTAGCCTCAAGAAATTCTAGGTAAGCTTTTCCATAAAAGTAAACTGATTGAGTTTCACGTGAAGAGATTAGTCTAGTTCAAAGATGTCAAACATAATTGCTTTTCT